CTTAACCTAGTTTTTGCAGAGATGAGTTCAGCTAAATGTAGGCTTTGATTTGGTTATCCATAATGGATACAAGTGCAATTTACAGCACTTTAGAAAGCATATGTGTTCACCAGTTTTCCTAGCTTTTCTCCAGCAAAAGTTTAAAGACAAGGCCCATCCTCTTGCTTCCAGACTCATAAAGCTAAAATCTCTTGCCTTTAAGAGGGGAATTTAAAATACCTGTGATGCTTTAGGACATTGGGAGGTGAAAAAAAAATGCATGGTCTCTTCTGTCATTAAATCTTAAAAGGGTCTCTGAGACCAATTATCTCAAAGTTTCTCTGCAAAGAATGGACTGACCTTTCCAAGACAAGTGTATATTTTTTGAAGACATTTATTAATGTAGTCATAAAATACATATCCTAATGGTGTGTGCTAATGCACGTCAATTAGCTTGGCCACACCAAGAAAAGAGCCTTGAGTTCAGTCACCATTTAAGAAATGTTAAAATAAAACTTGCCTAGAATAAACTTTTACATACAGGTAGTTGATTGTGCTTTGGAATATACCCTTTTTTCAAATAGTTGGTAGTTGGTCTAAAGCAATTGTGTGGGGATGTAGAAAGCCAGAGCCATGTCTTCAAATGGAAACGAACTGTCTTGAGTGGTTCAACAGTATCAGCAGCTCATCTGTTAAAACAGGAGGTGTTTTTAAAAAAAAAAAAAAAGTGCAGTACTTGAAGAATCTGATTGATTGGTGTAATCTGTATGACACAGTGATTACTTTTTAAACAAATCTTAAAATTACCTCTTTTTTTCCTTACATGATGTCAAGGAAGAGGAAGTGGATGTAAATGATCTGAAACTTAAAATTCTCTGCATGGCTCTCCGAAGAGATGGGTGAGTGCAATGTGAATAAAAATTACCAGGAGCATTTGTGATGGTTTTTCCAGAATTACACATTGGTGTACTATTCTTCAGCTCATTGAAAAGATTGAATTTCATAGTGTGAGTTTTATACAGTATAACATAACTGGTTATAAAGTGTGTGGAAACCTCCATTAAAAAAAAAAAAATGTAATACTTTGCGTAGCTCACTGGCAACCTCCTATGCATTTTCAACACTCAAGAAGCAGAGATGTAGCCATACAGCTTTCATTCTTGAACCCTGTGCAAAAGTAAAAGCAGCGATCAATGCTGAAACTTTTTGTCCCCTTTGAAGCATCTCAAGATCAAGCTTTTTAAGAGCAACACGTGCAGATATTACTTCTACAAATTTCTATTTCACTTATTTTTGACCGCTGAACCACTTTGTCAATTTCATGACTTTTTTATATTAAGCTGCATTCTTAACCCTAAGAGACCAAAGCCCCAGATACTGCTTAAAAGCCATTCTTCTGGGTCTCCAGCACTGAATACAGGCTGTGTCCAACTGGTCAGAAAAATCTTCTCATCAAGCAATGCAACTGTTCTTTCCTAGGGTAAATAATTCAAATGGTATTCCCTCCCCTTCTTTACTAATTTCCAGAAACTATTCAGCTTTACTAACTCCCATCCATGTTCTTAGGAAGAAAAGATGAGGGGACGACACATTCCAAATGCACTGAGCTATTTGTGATGGGCGTGGAAATAAGCACCATTTACATTCACACGTATACATAGGATAGATTCCAAAGGACAGTTGTCTGTAGAAAATAAACTCATAGCTGCATGACTAAGTTATTGTCACACCACACAAACATATGCAGAAATAGGTTTATGCTATTCTGTTTTCTTCCTTTCCTGTAAATTCTTTCCTGTTAATTTCAAGACAGAGGTATCTAGAATCCCTGCATGGCACCAAGCCAGTAATTGGTTTGTGTCCTGTCTACCCTGAACCAAGAACAGATTTGGATGCAATATTCAAACCATTCAAATTATGTACAGTGCTGACAACATGTTGCCTGCTCCTCTAGCTAAACAGGTACAATTTGAGATCACTTTGTACTAGTTAGTGTTTGGAAAGCTTGATCTCCCAGTTGAGTTTCCTGCCCAGCAAGGCTCACAAAGTCTTACAAAGAGGTCAGTCACTGTTTCAAAAGAGGCACTGTTAATTTTCATTAGTGTCTGAAATGAAGTATTTGATGTATTACAGAACCTTCCTTTAAGGGCAGCATCTGTTTTCTACCATAACAACCAAAAATGGTGATAAGTTTCTTGGGTGGAATGGAGGGCCTTGGTTGAACGTGTTCCTGCTGTTCTGGTAGGGCTCTCATTATCCCTCCTCCTCAGTGCCTAGGAGAAGGAAACCGTCATCACCCTTTTCCCCTTCGCTGCCTCCTTCCCTCAGACTCTTCCCAGTAGAGTTAATGATGAAGATGTAGAAATACTGGAGTGAAAGTGACAGCCAGGGTAAAACTGTGGTGTCAGTGAAGTACGGAGGATTTGGCAGTGAGAGTCTGGGAGACAGGTCCACATCCGAGCCATGTTCTCTTAGCCAAAGGAAAATCCATGTTAGTTTAGGAACTGACATGACTGTTCTCATGTGGTGGTTTAACACAGGGAACAAGGAGTTTTAACAACTGAAAGGGCAGAACCACAGAAAAGGAAGTGAAGTCAATGTTGACTTAAAGCTGCTACATGTAGAGCTCTGTAAAAATGAACGTGTTCCTTGAAATAATGTTTCTCTTAGAAAAACGTTTGGAGCTTTCTTATCACAGATGAGACTTGCATTTGTAAGTTTTTCGCATTTAATCACAAATGAAACTCGTATTCTTGTTTGCCTGCTGTTACAGGACTGCATGGATTTCCTGTATATTTTTTCTTATTTGCATTTGATTTTTACCTATGCAATTCTCTTAACAAATTATTCTTTGACTTGCAGATGGTCCAGCTCAGAAGGTAGAGATGATCCAATTGAAGCATCTAAAGATAGTATATTTGTGAAAATATTACAAAAACTATTGAAAGAAGGTAAAGAGTACTTCAGTGTGAACTTGAAAAGATTAACTTCTTGAAATTTAGTGTTTCAAAAACTACTTAAAATGAACGCTATATGAAAAGTAGCATAAGTGGATTCTTAGAGTAATACAAACCTCCATATGCATTCCACTAGATAACTAATTCCCATATGATTATAATTCTGTCTGTGAAATGCTGAGGACATGAAAGAGATGAGCTAATTTCTTGGTTACAATTTCAGTGCCCTCAAATTATTGGCTTAGTAGGGCAGCTGTCAGATTTTGCATGGTTTTTTATTGCATAGTAAAGCTTATCTTCTGCAGTCAAATGCGTATCTTCTGTAAGATAAAGGATTAATATTTAATCATCTGTCACTTGGAAGAGTGTGAACTATTTTAGCTTAAATGTTTTTCATGTATTTCTTCCAAAAAGCAAAATCAAGATGCGTGCCACCATGATGGCCATTAAGCTAAAAATGCCCATAGGAAGCTATGGTCATAGAAGTTACAGCTTTGGGGAGGGAATGGCAGGGAGGACAAGGAATAAGCAACTTTAAAGTTTTAAAAATAAATAAATCAGATTTTAATACTACTACAAATGCCCTCTTTCCAGATTCAAGAAAGCACCACACCAGAAATACAAGAATTATGTTCTTCAGAACAGTTCAATCCTATCAATTTCTACCCTTCTTGTGAGATTCTTACAGCTTGGGCTGAAATGTTAACTGGAAGTATTTATTAGATGACTGATTTTTTTATTTCCTTTGTGAAATGATACGTAATGATGTAGATTTCATGTTTAAGAATTTTAGGTTTATTAATGAATTTAGGGAGAAAATCACTGGGGAGCTCTGTTTGAGCAGGAAGTATTTTTTGGACTTAGTTTTACAAGATACCTAATTGTTATTGCATTTCTTAACGTGCATGCTAGAATTTGATCCTCCCAATCCCAAAAAAGGCAGAAGTGGGTGTTTACTTAAAATGATATTAAATGCTACTGCAAAGTACTTTTATCAGTTCGGTAACTTAAGGTTTTGTTTTGCAGGAGTTCAGCTAAGTGAATATTTACCAGAGGTGAAGGACTTCCTGCAAGCAAATGAACTTGACCACTTGAAAAATAATCCTTACTTCGCGTTTGTGTTAAAGGCAAACTATGAACTCTACGTTCAGGGGCAAGCATGATGATTGACACTTTTAAAAATATTTTTTTCTAAAGTACTGTCGAATTCATGTCTACATTTTTTTTTACATTCTGTTACTTTGCTAAAACTTTATAATAAAGGCTATGGAGAGTAATATACTTGGTCTCAGTTTTATAAATATTGACACATCACTCAGGAGAGGCAGGGGTGCATTTTCAGGCAAAAGAAAAATAAAGTTTTCATTTTCCATACATCTTGTAAACTTGCTATTTCATTTTATATCTTGATTAGCATGAGTCCTACCTGACAGTCAGATACACAGGCACACGGGGTGAAATGTGGAACCCACCGAAGGAGGTGTTAACTCTTGCTCTCACTTCACAGGGGCTGCGATTTCAGTTCAGAAAACATACTGAAAACATTAACACTGGATGACTGTATAGCTTGCTGAAGCGACAATTATATAAAATAGCTTTATTCCCAACACTCTTTGTGCATTGTGCAATGTGTGGATACACCTTCTGCTGTAGAAACTAGGTAATTTCAATTTTGCAAGATTACTGTAAGGAAAGCTGGCTTGTCGTTTGTCACTCAGCTTGTCAGTGACAGCCATAAAGCACAGTTCTCATTGGAAATCCCCTGCTCCAGTAGGAATGCCTTTCTTTCAGTATTCCTGGTTTTATGTTTTATAATATTTTTTACAGTGTTTTGAAAAAAACGGATGGATAAAAACCTTGCAACTTTCACATAAATTATATCTGTATTTCTAGAACACATGTTAAAAATGAAATTTAAGAGCTCACCGGGCAGTCATTCACTGTAACGGCTCGACTGGCAAGAAACCTAGAGAGCAGTTAATGGAAGTGAGAGTCCAGCATGATTGTCCTTACTCGGCGACTTGTTTCTTACTAGTTGATGCTACTGAGAGTCTCCTTTTTTTCTTTTTTTTTTTTTCTTTTTTCTTTTTTTTTTACCACCACATTGTCCCTGTTATCTCTAATGTGGGAGGACAAAATCAATAAATCCATTTTCGTTATTCTGGGTGGTAGCAGATTTTAATTTTTAAATTAAATCAGTGTTACTTTAATCTGTCACGTTGCACCTTTCCTTTGCAAGTAGCTTAACATGAAGAGAATGAATGCAGAGCAAGTTGCATGCCCTTATGTTTTACTTGTCTGGCGAGATGCCTGCTGCAACAACTTGATCCAACAGCTGAGAAGGTCAGAAGTTAAATCGGTTGAAGAGAATCCAGTTTCTAGTTTTAAAAGCGCAGCTCCCCTTCCGTTGCTTCCCCTCCTCCCTGTACTAATACAGTAAGCTGGGCTGAGAGTCTGAACATGTTTGGAAGAATAGCTTTATCTAGAGAGGTTCTAACTAATATGGGAAAGAAATGCATTAGCAGTCATCTTCTAAGATTGTTCTAAGAAACGAACTCTGCTCTTCTGCTGTCTTACGTGGTTGATTATGAAGTGTGGGTCCAGCTCCTAGCTGTGGTTTCAAGGAAGTGGGTCATTTAAGCCATTAGAAAAATCCCACCTCTTTGTTTAAATATCACTTTAAAGGTGGTTTCATGTTATTGATAAACGTAACATTTTAAGGGAAAGGGAATACTGTAACAGATGATTGACATCCCCTGCTGAAATATGTTCTACCTGAACTTTTACTAGACACGTTTTGCTTGAGGAGGAATTTCTTTAATTGACTGTCCACAGTAAAATCCTTCAGGGATATGTCATGCCTTCCTAGACTGTCGGCTGCCTGTATTCTGTTAGGACTGACAGGGTAAGCCCAGGAAAGCTTCCTCGAGAAGGACGCGTTTCTGTCCACCCGTAGCTATCAGTCTGCTTCAAAGCTCTTGGCTTCCTTTGTGAGATGTGTTTATTCCGGTTGGTGTAAAAGCACTCTGCAAGTTCTCAGGAAGCGATCAGCCATGTAGTCTTCACAATTAATGTTTTATTCTACTGCAGGGTTAGGAGGTATTTGGCATTTGTACAATGCCTTTCATCTGTCTATTGCCAAAACAGAAGGCTACGGGCAATGGGTTTACTTAAATAAAACCTCATTAAAATAACTTCCATGCCTAAACTGAAGTTAAGTGTTCTCTCGTGCTAGGAATGTTAAATTGGTTCGCTGTTGTGTTAAGGAGCTTGAAAAGTCGGGGATTTGGAAATGGCGAGGAGGAATAGCCCCGTTTCATTATGTAATAAGTCGCTCTTACACAGAACTCTTGTCTCGGGTTACTGTATGGGGAGGATGCCTTCATTTACCACTGCATATCAAAGGTCACGCAGGAGCTCTGGTTTTGCCACACTTGGAAACAATTAGGAAAGCTGGAACATAAAACAGCAGGTTTTGACTGAAACAGCTAAAGGAGTGTGGACAGCTCCTTTAGAATAAGGTGGTGTGTTTTGTTTCTTAAATAGTTACTTCTTCATTGATGGGCAATACACACGGTACAAAATGCTCATGCTTCTATCCTCTATTGTCATAAGAGTAGCAGGAAAGTTTGGCAATTGCCATTTGTGGTAGGTTTTATTAGTTGGTCGTTGTGTACAGTGGTTTTCTTTGTGCTCTCTTTCGGAAACTAAAATGTTTTCTGACTTACAGCCTAAGTCAGATTGATTTAGTGAGTCCAACACTGTCACTGTTTTGCTTTGAACTGTATTTAGGGTAAAGAGAAAATAAAGAGAAACCACGGGTAAAGAGTAAGTTTAGGCTTGTGTCCGCTTTCCCTGAAGGACCATTGAGAATGTTTATCTTTCAGCAGCGTTAATGTTTTAGGCGGGATTTCTGTTACAAACACAACTTGATTTCAGAGTCACAGCCTAATCAACACGACTGACTGTATTTTGGAAGCCGGGAGTCTCACAGCTCTGCAAATAAATGTGATGGCTGTGATTCCCTTAAGTGCTTTCGGGCTTCTGGTTTGTGTACTGCCAGCTGTAGATGACAGAACTGAAGAATAATAACGCGAGTTGAAAAATAGCGTGAGGGAACAGCATCTTTTATCCCCCGTATAATTTAACACAATAACATGACAGGGAATGAAAATGTATAGCAGAAGGAGACAGGGAGCTGCCAGAGGTAAAGCACGCTGCCAAGCCAGAGGATGCGGGCACGGAGACGAAGAGCTGCTCGCTTCTGCACTGACCCTTCTCGTGCTGCATCGCAGGGGAGGCAGTAACTCCAGCACTGCCTTGCTTTCAGGCGACTCCTCACAATGGGAACACTTCTGGTTTACTCTTTCTTCCTCCTCTCCTGCCTCCCCTGTGTTAGAGTGTAAAGGGATTTTAGAATTTAGAAGGGTTTAGGATTTGCCTCGGCCAGTTGTGCCTTTAGAGCACAGTTTTGAGAGCTCAGGGATATGGTTTAGTGGGGACTGTTAGCGTTAGGTCAGAGGTTGGGCTCGATGATCTTGAGGTCTCTTCCAACCTAGATAATTCTGTGATAATTCTGTGATAATTCTGTGATAATTCTGTGATCTGTGTGGCCTCACTGGCCACCAGCGAAGAGCAGAGCCGCTCTGTGAAGCCTCGCAGGCAATCTCTGCCCAAACTATTAATTCAACGTGGCGCTGAGGCGCTGCTCCCGGCGCAGCACCCTCACCCTCAGCCCTGAGGCGGCTCCCCCCGGGTGCCACCTCCTCGCCACCGCCCTGCCCTGCCCTGCCCGGTGCCGTCCCCGGGGGCTGCTCGGAGCCCGGTGCCGGCCGGGGGGGAGCCCCCTGCGGCCGCTCCTTTTACGGCCGGGCCGGGCTCACCTGGGCCGCGTCCAGCAGCGCCTTCTTTGGGCAGCGCCGGGCCGGGGCCGCGCCGGGCCCCGCGGCCCAAATATGGCGACGGCCGGGGCCGCATTCCTCAGCGCCGCGATAAAAGGGCGGCGGGGCGGCGGGGCGCCCACCCGGCACAGCGCAGCCCCGGCCCCGGCACGGCCCCCGGGAGGCTTCTCCGCCGCCCCACGCGCAGCACCGCCCGCAGCCAGCACCACCGGTAAGTCGGGGAGGGCTCGGGGCGGCAGCCGGCCCCGCACGGCTGAGGCGTGAGGCTGAGGCTGAGCCGTGCCCTGCCCGCCCCCGCAGCCCGCCCCCGCCATGTGCGACGAGGACGAGACCACCGCGCTCGTGTGCGACAACGGCTCCGGCCTGGTGAAGGCTGGATTCGCCGGGGATGACGCCCCCAGGGCCGTGTTCCCCTCCATCGTGGGCCGCCCGCGCCACCAGGTATCGTGAGGGGTCCCGCAGCTGGCCCTTGGACCCCTGTGTGTGGAGGCGTTTTGAGGTCACTGAGCCCCTTTCTTCCTTCCCCCGCAGGGCGTGATGGTGGGTATGGGTCAGAAGGACTCCTACGTAGGAGACGAGGCCCAGAGCAAGAGGGGTATCCTGACCCTGAAGTACCCCATCGAGCACGGCATCATCACCAACTGGGACGACATGGAGAAGATCTGGCACCACACCTTCTACAACGAGCTGCGTGTGGCCCCCGAGGAGCACCCCACCCTGCTCACCGAGGCCCCCCTCAACCCCAAGGCCAACCGTGAGAAGATGACCCAGATCATGTTTGAGACCTTCAACGTGCCCGCCATGTACGTGGCCATCCAGGCTGTGCTCTCCCTGTACGCCTCCGGCCGTACCACTGGTGAGTGCCAGCGCCCCGATGGCCCCTCGTCCCCAGGGACACCCAGGACGTGTCCCCTGTGGCTGCCCCCCGGCTCAGGGCTGTTCCCGGGCCGTATCTCAGGTGTCTGCTCTTTGTGTTCCCAGGTATCGTGCTGGACTCCGGCGATGGTGTGACACACAACGTCCCCATCTATGAAGGGTACGCCCTGCCCCATGCCATCATGCGCTTGGATCTGGCCGGCCGCGACCTCACTGACTACCTGATGAAGATCCTGACTGAGCGTGGCTATTCCTTCGTCACCACGGGTAAGCACCGCTCCTGCCCAAAAATGTCCTCCCTCGTTTCCAGCCCTTGCACCTCTGGGGATGCTGTAGCCTCTTGCCCCGTTGCAAGCCCAGGGAGTGCTCCCTGTTGGGCATTTGCGTGTGGTTAGGGGTCTGGAGACCCAGCAGACCCGTGTAGGAGCTGCAGGTGTTCTGTTTCTCTTCTGTTTCTCCCTTTGTTGCAATCACTGATGCCTTTGCTCCCCCTGACAGCTGAACGTGAGATTGTCCGTGACATCAAGGAGAAGCTGTGCTATGTGGCGCTGGACTTTGAGAACGAGATGGCCACTGCCGCCTCCTCCTCCTCCCTCGAGAAGAGCTACGAGTTGCCTGATGGGCAGGTCATCACCATCGGCAATGAACGTTTCCGTTGCCCAGAAACCCTCTTCCAGCCTTCCTTCATCGGTGCGTGCCCCCCTTCCCTCTCCCCTCCCCAGCAGCTCCCCCCTCTCTGCTGAGCCCTGGCACAGAGCTCCTGCTTGGCGCTGACCTTGTCCCTGCTCTTCACCCTGCCCCCAGGCATGGAGTCCGCGGGCATCCATGAGACGACCTACAACAGCATCATGAAGTGCGACATTGACATCAGGAAGGACCTGTACGCCAACAACGTCATGTCTGGGGGTACCACCATGTACCCAGGTATTGCTGACCGCATGCAAAAGGAGATCACAGCCCTGGCCCCCAGCACAATGAAGATCAAGGTAAGGCTACAGCGTAACGGATCCAGGCACAGGTCTCCGAGCACAGCCTTCTTTTTGCCTTCCTGCAGCGCCTGCAGCATTTACGTGCACTGATCTCATCTCTCTCGGCTTTTTCTAGATCATCGCCCCGCCTGAGCGCAAGTACTCCGTCTGGATCGGTGGCTCCATCCTGGCCTCCCTGTCCACCTTCCAGCAGATGTGGATCACAAAGCAGGAGTACGATGAAGCTGGCCCATCCATTGTCCACCGTAAATGCTTCTAAACATGTTTACATGATCACTTTGCCAACCACTCTCAGGATGACAACCTTGTAGGTTCCAGCCTGCTGAGGACCTGCACCAGCCATGTAACTTCCTATTTTGTAACAATTTCTGGTTACTGTTGCTGCAAAGCTCCATGTGACACAGTGTATGTAAAGTGTACATAAATTAATTTATTTTACCTCGTTTTGTTTGTTTTTAAAACCAATGCCCTGTGGAAGGAAACAAAAAACTTCAAGAAGCATTAAATCATCAGTCATTCTGTCATACCCCTAACGCAGTTCTGTCGTCATTTCCTTGGCTTCTTCCATCGCTCGCCGCCGTGGCACCTCGGGGGTGGGAGCAGGGCGGGGGGGCGGTGGGCTGGGGGCTCTCCAAGCGCTGGCAGGACCCCCTGGTCCAATTTTGGGTCACAAAAAGCTCAATTGTGCAGAGAGCAGCCCTGGGGTGGCTGCGTGCTGCTGCAGGGTGGGTGCTTGCTGCGCTGCACCGTGCTCCTCCCAGCCCCAGGGGGAAAGGGTTACCTGGAGCTTTCCAACCCTGGAGCTTTCCTCACCCGCGGTGGCTCACGGAGGATTTTATTTGGCTCAGCCTGCGGCAGAAGTAGCCCAGGCATGCCTGCACAGCCCCAAGCCCTGATGGACAGAGGCAAGGCTGGGGCTGAGGGCAGGTGGCGGGTGCAGGTTAAATAAAGAGCTTTCCACTCCGCTTATGGGAAACCCGCCCGGCTCACCCCATCCCCGGGGGGCTGAGGGCACCCAGGGCCACTTCCTCACCCTGCCTGACACCCTCGCCCTTCCCCTGCTCATGCGCTGGGGTCTGCCTGCAACCTCAGCCCCTCGTGGGGCTGGATGCCTCCTAGGGGGCTTCCCTGCTCCGTGCGAGCCCTGAGGAAGATCCCAGGGTCTTGGAGACAAAAAAAATACAAGCAGGAGGCAGTCGGTGACCTTGCACTTGCCGTGTTTACAGGCTGCTGTGGCGGCACGTGCCTCGCCGGCAGCACTGCGGGATGTGGGGAGCTGCTCGCCCCACGGCAAATCCTCACTGCTTGACCCCCGATCCAGGGTTCAGGCGTGGCTTAAGTGGTGCTATGAGATGGATTTTAGGGCCTGCTTCTGTTTACTTGATGAAAAGGCTGCTCTGGAAGTGCAGATAAAAGTTGGAAAAGCAGCCTCATGGATTAGTGCTTGCTGTGGGGTAGGGGCACAGCTCCTCCACATCTGTCATCGCAGTCAGGGTCCTAATCCCCCAACAAGAGGGGCTGGGGGGGAGCAGTGCCAACCTAACCCAACCCAACCCAACCTAAAACCTCACCTTTCCAGGTTTCAAAACACAACACTTTCTTTGACCTGAAACTAGCCTTTCACCCGGGCTTGGGATTTTCAGAAATCGCAGACAAAGATTGTTTGGAAACAGCAGAGCTGCGTTTTCACATGGGTGAAAATTCACAGTGACACCAGCCTGGGTCTGGTCCTCATTGTGCATCTAACAAGAATTTCATTGTCCCCCTCTGTTGTTGGCAGGAGGCTACAGATTGTCAGGACAAGCATCCTCTGTTTTGAGAGAGGGAAAGCATTAAATCTGACCAGGGAGGAGTAAAGATTTAGTAAAAGGATAAATAGAGCTTGCTTGCAAATTACTTTTTTCTCCCAGGATGCCTTCAAAACACAGTTGTTCAAAATTCTGGATATCTTACAGATTTGCTGCATCTATTAACTAATCCTCAGGGAAAAAAAATAAAATAAACAAATGGAACATTGCCTGCTAGGGTTTCTTTCTTTGTTTTTGAATGGAACAGGCATTTTTTTTAATTTAAAAACCAGCTGAAATAACTGTTCAGATGTATAGATTTCCATAGTACGTCTCCTGGGGCTGGAAAAGGAGCACATCAGGGTGACCACCACCTGTTGCCCAGTGCTGAGTGCAGGGATACGCTCCCCTCTTTGGGGTGGGGGCACAGGGAGCGGGTAAGCGCAGTGCTGCCTGGCCAGCAGTGGGGCAGCCCTGTCTACCTGCAGGCATCTCCCATGCTGTGGCTGCCCAAAATGAGCAGCTGCAGATCTGTAGGAGACCCTGGTTTTTGGCTTTTCAGCACCTGAAAAATAAAAAAGCTTCTGATCTCTGTGCATTGGGGGAAGCCAGGGGTATCGCAGGCACACTGTGTGTAATAGGGCCAAGTGGACACTTGGAGGAACACTTGATGTCCCCATGGATTTCCTCCTTCCCCATGCAGGGCTCATCATCAGCCTCAAAAGCCCACAGCCAGAAGCAGAGCTGGGGCCAGTGACGCCCAGACTTCTAGCACCGGCCACCCCATGTAGCTTATCCTGAAGTGCTTGCAGGGACTGCAGCCAGGCTCTTGTCCCGGCCGTGCTCTGAAGCTGATGCCGGTGGCCTGGAGGCTGCCATGGCCCCGGCTGCTCAGGGAATGCCTCAGGCGGCCAGGGAATGAGGCTCTTCTGTAACCCCACCTCGCAGAGCTGCGTATATATAGATCCCTGGAAGCAGCTTTCCTCCTTGGCACACCCCTGCAGCCCGTAATACCCTGCAAGCCCGCCTGCCCTGTCCCCTGCTGCCTCGCTCTCAGCTTCCAGCAGCTTCTCCCTGAGGGCCTGAGCTGTACCTGTGGAGGTGAACATGCCTTCAAATGACACCTCCTGATCCCTCAGCCCAGACACAGAGGTCACCTCGTCTACCTGTGTGCAAAGTACGACCGCTTTACATTGCCACTAACCAGCCAGAAAGCTGCAGAATGGGATGCTGCTTTCCTGGGCACCCCCACATTGAGCCTGTATTTTAATAACCAGCTTTATGACTATATGTTTTTCTTTTGTTGAAGGATATGTAAGCAAAACAAAACAACAGAAAGCTTCCACAATGCCCTGATCCCAACCAGTGGTGGTGCTGCTTCACCCCAGTCCAAGCAGCCCTGCTCCAGGTGATGCATCGTGTTTCATGCAGGGAGGGAGTGGTTGCACAGGTGCATTGCTTTTC